CCGCACCCTGGACCCCGCACTCCGGACCCCCCGCCCGCCCTCCTGGGCCGGTGAGGAGGGCGCAGAATGGGGACCTGGGGTGCAGACCTGCGCCCCAGAAAGGCGCGCTCCCCGGGCCGGGATGCCTGCAAGGACAGCGTTTCATACTTTAAAAACATTTGCCCTGGACCTCGGAATGCTGTGGACATTATGAATATTTGCTGCCCCGAGGAGGGGCGCCAGGATAAAATAATCTAGATCATGCCGAGTAGAACATGCGAGGCGGGAACAGCACTTTGTAGGCTGTCTGTGGAGTGTGTAGCCATTTCAACTGATGTAATTCAAAAATTATGCTCGAGCTTTGAATCTCTTAGGCTACTTTTGTTATGAATTTATAGCCTCCGGGGTAGTTTTGAAAATACGGTTATTCTGGGGAGACGGTGCACGGTGTAAGTGCTCCGGAAGAAGGCAACGAGTGGGATTAAATGATTTCACAAAGTGGATGTCCACTTGCCGGCATACTATAGGCAGGTCAGAGTAGCACACTCCCTTTTAAACTCTGATTTTGCTTTTGTTATTAGAAAACTAATATTTGCGGGTATTTTCATCTTAACCATGTGACATGTCATTTTAGCCCAAAGGAGTGGAAGAGCCTGTCTTGGAGAGTTTCCCAGGGAAGCCCTGAGATCGTTCATTATGAAGTGTACCGCGCGGGAGTGGCTCCGGGTGACCGCAGTGCTGTTCATGGCGCGAGCGATTCCAGCCATGGTGGTTCCTAACGCCACTCTGTTGGAAAAACTCTTGGAAAAGTACATGGATGAGGATGGTGAGTGGTGGACGGCCAAGCAGAGAGGAAAAAGAGCCATCACAGACAATGACATGCAGAGTATCTTGGACCTTCATAATAAGTTACGAAGTCAGGTGTATCCAACCGCTTCTAATATGGAGTATATGGTAAGGAAATTTTTCAGGTGGTATTTCCCACAGAAGTGTCTTCTGATGGTTTCAGCCACCCTGGTTAAATTCCCTCATGCTATTCTTTAACCTTTTACCATTTGTCCTGTGTGAAATAAAAGGTTTTCTTCAAGGATATCTTCCCCTGCACATTCTTTGCTTAATGTTCCTCTTTTTTCTAAGAGTTCTTTGAATTTTAGTGTAGAATTAAGTACATTCAGATACAGCAAGCCTACTAAGTTCTAAATTCTGCTCTTACTGGGAAGGTTACAGTACTTAACATGCTTTTGGATGACTTAGTACAACAGTTGCATCCAAATGTCTGATAGAAGCTTCTTATCAACTGTGGACACGGACAATTTAGACACTAAGAATTTGAAGAAGCTCTTTGAATATATATACATATATGTCTTTTTGCAGAATATATAATATACATTATGAGGGCCTTTATTTCCTTATAATATTATTCCCTTGTAGTATAACTATCATTTCACAAATACGTAAATGAAACCATGATATCAGAAAGGATGCATTTTTGTGATTGCTTTATGTTAGAGGGCTTTGCACCCCCCCTGCCCAAATTATTTGTGAACTTTGAAGTATGAAAATAAAGCTGTTCAAAAGATGAAGTAAAAGTAATATTCACCTTATCTGTAGTAATCTTATATTTACTTAACATAGAAAGTCTGAGAAACAAAATTACTGAAGAGTATTAGCATATTTTGCATATTTAGAAAACTTTAAAAATATCTATTATGTGTTACTTCTGAGAATTAGGAACCCATTAACAAAGCCTGATGATAAACAGTAGCTGGGGATAGCAAAGCTTATTCAAGGAACATTAGAAATTATATTTCTCCTTTGGGTGCATTACAGGATACAGTTAATTTTAGTGTGTTCTAATTTTTCTTATTCTGCATTTATGTTAGTTGTTCTGAGTATTCTCCATTTAGGTAACTTTCATGATACATGATGTTCTAAGTTTCCATTACCCGTTACAAAATATTACGTTATATTATTTTAACTTTTGCTGGAAAAATATTTTTACCTTGAAGAAAGTAGGTAGTAATCAAAAGAACTCAGATATTTAGACTTGGATCTGGGAATCAGACTGCCTGGGTTTACGTCCTAGCACAAAGCGACACCCCCAGGGCTGTGACCTTGGGTATTTACCATTTTTCTCTACTTTGGTTCCCTGTGTCTAGGCCATGCGCTCACCTCAGAGGGTGGTTGTGAAGACAGTGAGATAACTTGTGGGAAGTTTAGCTCATTGCTAAGTTTAGCTTATTGCAACAAGCTCATTGCAACAAGCGCATTGCAACGTCTCAGTAAATATTACTAGGACCTCTGTAAATAGTTTCACATCTCCTCTTATTGTTTAAATATAATTTTAAAGAAGTTATTAGTTCTTCCCCAGATTGTGTGCAGGACATCACCTCTTTAATGTGTGATATGTTTGCTTCGTGTGCATTTTCAAGTGTTTGTTCAAAGTGAGAAATTCTATGCCTTCTTCATCTGTGAGTCTGCACACAGTGCCAGTTATGCAGCGTTTCCAGTCCGGCCACTGTATGCTCATGTCGTGTGGAGGGGCCTTCCGTGGCCTTTTGTGTAAAATAAGAACTTGGGAGTGCGAACCCACAAAGGGAAAGCTCTCAGAATATTTGTGCGTGATTCAAGTAATATGGAAATCATGAAAGAATAGTTCTGTGACTCTTTTTGTGTCCAACTTCCAAACAAAATAACTGCCTATTGTATGATGTCCGGTCTGGGGTGTTTATGTGGGTTTTCTTTCTCGTTTCACTGGTTTCCTTCTCTCCTTGAAATGTAGATTCACAAACCAGCCAGGGTTTATGTTGTGTTGCCCTTAGACACTATTAGCGCTGGCGCTGTGTCTTGGCCGTTAACCAGGCTGCAGAGAATTTCAATGCCCCACTGTAATACTGGACTACACTCTTTAGAACACACAGTTAAGGGGAAGGGTAAAAAGAACTGCTTCTTGGAAACACTGTTGATTCATGCATTTCATAGCAATATAAGTACAGATGTCGATCAATCTTATAAAATACAATTTATTCAGATTATTATTTAAAATATGTTCTGAGAAAACGAAATTTAAAAACTAGCCAAAGAACTGTTTCCTGGAAAATCTGCAGTGTTCAGTGATAAACGCCATCACTTTTGGCAACTTACACCCCAGATGTCATTTCGTGTTACATGATTGAATAGGCGGTCACCTCATTTATAATTGGTGCTTATTTTAGCTCTAGGGCCAGGCCCCATCCGCACTCATTAATGTCAAATCCTTACCCTGATTCTTAGCCTCATTTTACTTCTGGGGTTGGAAAGCAACTCTGGAGGACCATGTCTTCCCTTGAAGAGCTTACAGGTTAACTGAGAAGAAAGAGTAGACACGTTTGAAGTTTTTCTATTAAGCAAGGTCTCAACATTTTCCTTTCGTGTCTATGAACTGTAGCAGTGGAGTACAAGGTACTGGAACATTCCTGGGTGTGAGAGCTCGTATGTGGGGACCATGAGGTGTGTGCTGTTTCTTCAAGGTGTTTGGTGCTGTGAATTGCAGGAAAGACAGGAGGGCATAGGTCAGTAAAGAAATAGGAAAAGGCAGGTGCAAGGCAGCAAAATCGTCAGCCTGGATGTGGAGAACCAGAAAGAGATTAGGCTGTCGAAAGTCCAAACCGGTGCTATATTGAGGGTGGGTGAGTGATGGATGACAGGACCCCGTCGTCCCGAGGAGGAAACGCAGCAACATTTAATTTAGTGTAAACTGAGAAACGAGCCCGCAGGTCATCGAATGAAGCTGACGGTTAAGAGCCGGTAGATTTTAGAGGAGAGAAGTACAGATTTTAGGCCCAAAGAGCAGCAGGTACACATTTCGTCTTTGCTGCTGCCTGGTGTGTGAACTCTGACAGTCGCAAGCATTCTGGGCAGCGGTTTTCTCGTTGTTAAAATCGGTACTGAAAGACAAACACCCCAGGTTGTAATGAGTTGAGTGACTGGACGCTGTGGGAAAGATTGACATTCTGAAAGCCTCTCCTTCCTGGGCTGTGAATCCCGTCACTCGTTTTGCTGCTCCCTGCTATCTTTATTTTCCAGGCATCTCTTAAAAATCTGTTCCTGGGTTTTTCCTTGTCCCTCTCTGCAAGGGCTTAGCTGTCCTGTGACTGCAAATGTCCTCGTATTCCTGGCCTCCTACTTCCTGTCCATCCAGCAGCCCTCTCTGCGCACTCCTTTCTCGTGTTTCTGAGTGTGCTCTGAGTCCTTCTGGTTAATTTCATCCTGCAGTAACTTTGGGCAGAAAACGTCTAGAAAGAAAGTGCACCGCCTTCTCCTTTTTCTCCGCTCTCATCTCCCCAGCGCTTGCCTGCCTAGATTCTCTTTCCGTGAGTAGCACCCACATTGCTCATCCTTGCCAGGACACTTTCACAGAGATGATTGACACATCCTCAGCCCCTGCCCGCCGCCACCGCTCATGCAGACGAACCCACAGCGACCTTCCCGGTGCAGTGGAGCTTGTCTCAGGCGTGTGTTTTGAACCCGTCTCCTCTAGCTCATCCTCGTCTGCGCTCTCATCTCACAGCCTTGCTGACCGCACAGCTTCCACCAAGCAGACTGCACCAGCCTGTTCCTACTTTATTTTTAATGTACTCTTTGTGCCGCTAGCAGATCTGCGGTCACTCGGCAGAATAAAAGTTCTCTTGACTGGGGGGAGACTTGCGAGCTGAAGGCCTCAAGGATTGGCTTAGAGAAGGAAGCGCGTGTGCTCGTCTGCCTCGTTGGCTTCCACTTGCAGGAAGCTGCGTGCACACGGACCTACGTGCTGCTCTCTGAGGGATGTCCTTCCCACGCCTCTGAACTCTGCCTCTGCGGAGTCCTCTGTGCCTGGACACTGCGCTCTGCCTCCTGACAAGCCCCTGTGATCTGTCTCTCAAGGCTGAGCTTGAACACTGCCTTCCCAGCGAAGCTTTCTCGGGTGCACCCTTCCCCTGTCCTACTCCTAAAGCACTTTATTGTCACCTCCTCGCTGAATCAATGCTCCTCTGCAATGAAGTAATTACCCTTTCCATGGCTTTTAATTCCTAGAAGGGTAAACATCATATCTTAATCTCTTACCCAGTGCCTGGTACATATAAAAGGTGAAGTACTCAGGAAATGTTTGTTTATTATGATTGAATGGTCAATAAATGTGTTGAATAAAGGGACGGATGGAAGGGTAGGTAAGATTATATCTGAGACAAGTGTTGAAGATCGCTTGAGAAAGGGGAATTAAAATTATTAAAATAATAATGCTCTAGAAGGTAAGACAACAGACAGGGGAAATTTGAAACACTTGAGTACTTCAAAAACTTCAGCGCATGAGGTTTTTTTTGATCCTGTCTTTTATTTTAAAAATTAACAAAAATGTTATTTTTAATGGACACAAAATCTTTCTACACATTTATGGAGTACAGAATGATAATTCGATACTAGTGTATAATGTACAATGATCTAACTGAGTAGCTAGCATTTCCATTTTCTCAGACACTTATCATTTCTATGTGTTGGGAACATTCTAATTTTTCTAGTTCCCTTGACCCAGACTTGTGAACAGATGGACTTACTAGACCTTTACAGAGTGTTCCACCCAACAACATCAGAAAACATACGCTTCTCAGCTGCACATGGGACGTTCTCTAAAACAGACCATGTACTAGCCTACAGAATATGCTTAAGGAAATGCAGAGGAATTGAAATTATGCCATGCACATTGTCTGAGCACAGCATATGTGTTTTTTTTTTATGTTTTCAAATGTGCATGGGATACTAAAAACTGTCCTGGAGTATAAAGTTAATAGTAAAGACATTCAAATATTCTCAGTAAATAATAAAATAAATTAGAATTTATCTGGTCCTCCAAATTCTAATACAGAGTCTCTTAAAACATTATAGATCAACCAAAATTCAAAATAACTTACTGCTGTACAGAGCATAGCCGCTTCTAGAAT